TTCCTTCCTTCCTTCCTTCCTTCCTTCCTTCCTTCCTTCCTTCCTTCCTTCCTTCCTTCCTTCCTTTCTTTCTTTCCTAGTACTGGGGCTTAAACTCAGGGCCTGGGTGCTATCCCTGAGGTTTTTTTTACTGAAGACTGGTATTCCACCCATTGAGCCACACCTTTCTTGGCTTTTTGTTGGTTAATTGAAAATAAAGAGTTTCACCGACTTTTCTGCCCCCAGTGGCTTTGAACAGGATCCTCAGATCTTAATCTCCTCAGTAGCTAGAATTAGAGACATGAACCACCAGCATTCAACTTAGTATTTTATTTTCTAGGTGAAGTCATTGAAGTCTTAGAGATTTACCAAAAACAGACCCAGCAGGCCAGAGTTCAAATTCTACTTTCTGAGCTGGGCTCCAGTCGCTCATGCCTGTAATCCTGGCTACTTAGGAGGCTGAGATCTGAGAATGGTGGTTCAAAGCCAGCTCAGGCAGGAAAATGTAAGACTCTTTTCTCCACTAAACCATCAGAAAAGCCAGAAGTAGAACTGTGGTTCAAGTGATAAAGCACTAGCCTTGAGCAAAAGAAGCTCAGAGACAACATCCAGGCCCTGAGTTCAAACCCCAAGAGCAGCAGAAAAAAAAATTCAACTTTCTGGACCCAAAATTTACACACTTAAGAGCATGAAGCTAGGGACACAGCGGACCACCCTTCAGTTGATGCGAAGTCAGCGACAGCACTCTGGGAGAGACAGGAGGGCGGGTAGCTGTAGCAGCCTACACCACTAAGCCCCCTCCCTCCGTATCAGCCACGCCCAGCCACCTCTCCCTCCCTAGCACTGCAGGATAGAGGCTAGGGTCTCAGGATGTCCTGGAGGTGTGGAATTCCCCAGCTTGCACAGTCTCCATACACAAGCCCTTTGCTCCTCCTAGGCCACCCCCAACCTTGGCATGACTCCATCCCCAAACCAGCTGCCAATCTGGCATTGGCAACATCATCTTTGTGTCTCCTGCTCTCTCCCTCCTCACCTGATTCTCTCTCTGCCTGCCCTACCAAAAGCCTTCCCCTTTCCTGTGCCTCACCAAGACCATCCCAGTCCTTCCCCTGACCCGTGCAGCAGTTTCTCCCCTCCCCTGGCCTGGGATGAGGGGAGGCATGTTTCCTGTCTCTTTGGCTTTTGGAAAACATCATGGGGGAGCAAGCCCAGCTCAGCAGTCATGTGTGTGCATGTGACATTCAGATCAGTCCAGGGGACAGCTAATGTCAAGCGCCATTGACAGCTGTTCCCCTTGATAGAAGGGGTGAGATTGACTGGAATACATTGTATACAGATGCAGAAATGCATACCCCCCCTCCAGGCACTGTACAACCCGTGTATGCTAATAAAACCAATGAATAACTATAACAACAACAACAACAAAAATCCAGAAAAAAACAAGAATGCTGCTCTTCCAATTTACCTGGAGACCATCTGTGCCCAGCCTTGGGCAACTACCTGCAGGGTGACTTATCTCAGGCCTCACGAGTTGAAATCTCTCCTGGGCTTGGATTCTTCTGTCCCAACCAACCAGGGTACCATGAGTCATGCATCCTAATGTACTCCCCACACACACCTGGAGGATAAAGGCCCCCCACTCTCACCTGCTGCTAAATCCAGTGCTTCCCCAAGCTCAGGAGAGCAAGGACAGGCCAGGACAGATCTGAGCTCAGCAGCTCTGGAGCAGGTGGGGCTTGGCTAGAGCCCCAGCCAGCCAGAGCTCCCTCTTGCCAAGTTGGCTTTTGAGGTAGAACAGTCAATCTGGAGGGGACAGGAGGCCCCAGAAAGGGCCTGGGGGATCCCCTGTAAGGGAAAAATAGTCACATATAGGTTTCTGTGCAAACTTGCTGAGAAAAGACAGCACCTGTGCCAGGTAGGACAATGGGTCACTGGTTTGGTACTGTGAATAGAGGTAGGCAGTTGAGTGTCTCCATACCTTAGTCTCCTATTCTATAAATGGGGACAAGGAGGGGTCTCAGAGAACAATGCACAGCTTTCCATGACCGCTCACATTTACCAAATGGTCCACAGTCCAGGCCCAGTTCTGATGGTTTTACCTGCATATGTACAAACTGCTGCAGTGGTGTGCGGGAGTCAGATACAGCCATAGTTCAATATTCCAGAATCTGGAATATTGAACCATTGGTAATGGGCTGGGCATGGTGGCACATGCTGTTAACCCAGAACTTGGCAACTGAGACATGAGGATCAATCATAAGTTTGAGGACAGCCTGAGATCTATAGGAGACTCTGTCTCAAAAGAAATAAATAAGTACAGCAGGTGCCAGTGGCTCATGACTGTGATCCTAGTTACTCAGGAAGCTTAGATCTGAGGAT